ACTTTATCATGCGAGAGTATAAAATGTTCGGTGACACCCGAACTTAGCCCTTCCTTAGTTGTTTTATACTATCATTCTCCTTCTGCGTTGGCGGCCTTCGGATGGGCTCTAAAAAATTAAACCTGGCCGAGGGAATACCCGGGGTGACTGAAGTACTTTCGCTTTGTACTCCTTTCTGCGTTAAAAAAAAAATTATATTAAGTTTTTATTATAAAGTGGTTATACATATTTTTTGGTTATCATGCCCTCAAATTGAAACACATCTTTAGTTTTCGTTATAAAATGGATACATTTTAGTTATTATATCTTTCAGCGATTTATATTACGAACGTCGGGAGTAAAGGTCACTGCGATAATTCACAATAAGGTGCTTAAACTAATAATTCACAGTGATCCGTAAACTGATTAAAACTATTAACTATAAATTCGTTATAAATAATCGCCGTTTTGTTACTCCCCCCTCCGTGAATCGATCCGATTCACTTACTCCACGACCAAAGCGGCTAACTTTGACACGGGGAGACGAAGGATTCTACTCCTGGTGCGTACATCAGCTCTCCTGATAATGCCATCAGATCCTCGCTGTACCGCTTCTACTCGACTACGGCACTATTGCTTCCGCGGCATGTTAACGTCGCACACAAATACCAGATCACCAACCTGAATTGATTTTGGTCTTTCACACCACTTCATTCGACGCGTAAGTGTCGGCAAATACTCAAGAATCCATCGTCTCCAGAACGCGTCTCTTAACCCTAGAAGGGTAGGTTAAATTGTAGGCGCATATAGGTACCGATGAGTAATTTTACTCACTTCAGAATTTTTACGTTATTATCTGATTTATTTTGTAAAGTAGTAGTTTTAAATGAAAAAAAAATTGAAAGACAGCATATAATATAAGTACAGTTTTTTTTATTAAAATATAAAAGTAAGCAAAAATAATACTTTATTATTAATTTTTGACGATTATGAATGCATACAAATTTTTCAAGCACAGTCAGGGCACTTTTTTGGGCATGTTCACCGCAAATAGCTAATCCACAATTGCAATAGGTTGTGGTGTATCTACGTTTGATATAACTACAAAAATTACAGTACTTTCTTGTCCCCTTTTGGTCTTCTCCGGAACTATGGGGCTCTTGACTTGTGCCTACAATACTTTGAATGGATTTTTTCAACGCCAGACTCATGTTTGTATTAGTAGCTAATCTTTTCCTTTGAAATCCTTCCGTTAACTCCTTGTGTAGAGATAAAATAAATATAAGTCGGGATTCTGGATTTTGCCCATGGCTACACATGTTATGCGCGTAAACGTTGTATGCGTTTATTGCAGCTATGTTCATCATATTTTGGAAAAATGCTAGAGGCCACCTTCTGGTTTTCTTACCATGGTTAATGTTTTGGCACATCTGATCAAAACTGTCAACTTCTCCTTTTGTTGAGTTGTACACATGGACTATTTCTGGTTTTGCAGTGGTGTCATGAATACTACCCGTACGGTGCATACTAGACGCCAATAATACAAGTTTATTATTATTGGGCTTGTATGATACAACTGTCAAATCCTCATGAAATATAAACAATAAAGTGCATGCGGTTCGTTTTTGAAACTTTATAGCTTCAATAGGCAATTGTGGTTTATTTTTTTTATTGTGCCAAGAGTTGCTATTTTGTATTCATGACGGAGACGTTGCATGAGTGGTACACTCGTAAACCAATTGTCTATCGTGACATTTCGATTGGTGCCCTTTACATTTTTCAGCAGTTCAACAACATAATATTCACCAGCAGCCATTGCAGGAGGTACACATCT